ATATATATATATATATATATATATATATATATATATATATATATATATCGATGCACTTGAAGGTTCTATACATGAACGAATCGTTTCCTACAGGGAAGGGTGCAGATATTCAGCACATAGATGAATTCTTCACAGAAGCAGCTCTGATGACGTCATTTCGCCATGATCACGTGTTGGCACTACTCGGGATTTGCTTTGAAGTCGACGGCAACCCTATGATTGTATTACCATATATGGCCAATGGAGACCTTAAAACCTACCTCGAGGATTCCACGAATGTGCGAAACAATTTTCGTGTGTTTACGAAACCGTAATATTTATTCAAAATCATATTGACTGAAAAGTTGAATTAAAAAAAAAAGCTTTTGAAAAAAAAAGCTATTGAAAGATTAGAGAAATTGATTAAGAGGAATATTAGGAGATGCAATATTTTAAATCCAGACCTGCTGAAAGCGCCTCTCTGCACATGAGCTTCAAATTTAGAATTGCAATTTAATATAGGAAATATCGTATTGTTTTTATGCTATGAATGCTATGTTACCTTAGGCACCCACGGAACTGCAGCTGCTGCAGTTTGGTTTGGACGTAGCTTGGGGCATGGAATACCTTGCTGAGAACAAATTTGTTCATCGGGATTTGGCTGCAAGAAACTGTATGTAGGTAGTTTTCTCTTTCATCTCCTTCATATATCGTACTTTTTTGCGTAAATAATAACATTTGGGTAATTTCAGTAAAGCAGTTGTTTTAAACCACAAAATAAGTTAAAATTCCATTTAATGGTGAGGCATTTAAATTATTATTAATATTATTAATAATGAGATAAGCAGTTATAATTTTAACTATCTCGATGCCCTGGTCTCTAAAAGACTTTACGTTTATTTGGTAATAAATGTTTGTATTATATATCAGACGAAGGTAGGCGAAAGACTGAACAAATAAAGTGAGATGAATGTCAAATTGCAAGAAAAAAGTCGACAAATGGGTAAATTATATCCTAGGATAAAAATATCCTAGTTTTTCACATTTTTCAGGCTAGATGACCAACTGCGCGCCAAGGTGGCCGATTTTGGACTGACTCGCGACGTGTACACCACTGAATACTACAGCTCCAGAGACAAGCAGGCCAAGTTGCCGGTGAAGTGGATGGCACCAGAGTCCATGGAGAGGGACGTTTACACATTTAGTTCTGATGTGGTATGGCATGCGGTTATATCTAGTTTTACTTCGAAGGTTACTCCTTTCAACACTATCGGACGATTTAACATATTTGATTTTAAAATTAATAAGTTGTTGGGCCCAAGAAATCAATTTTATTTTAAATATGTAAAATGACTGTTTGATACAAAATACGAAATATGAAATTAGAATTAGGAATGTCTTGTATAATCAAGAAATATGACCTAGAAAGTACGCCGTCTAATTATCGTAATGTTAGTGTAATGTCCATAATCGCCTTGCAATAACTGCCCCGGCTGCTGAAGCTATTAAAACCTTTTATTGTCCATATAGCATTGCATGCTATCCATATTTAAGGGAGACGGAGAATGTCAAGACACGGTTATCATTACATAAAGCTTTCTCTTGTCATTATATTATATTATATTATGTTTTGTTATGTTATATTATATTATATTACATCATATTCACCCATGGCCAAGTTATTATTATCATTATATAAATATTTCTATTGTCCACAGTGGTCCTATGGTGTCCTACTTTGGGAACTGTTCACTCGCGGTAAGGTGCCGTACCCTGGTGTAGACGAGTGGGATGTTCTACAGTTCCTAAAACTTGGGAGAAGACTGGACAAACCCGACTACTGTCCTCAGCACGTGTAAGTAATGGTCCCGGTTTCGAAAAAAAAAGGCAAGTCAGGTTCCCTGGCTTAGAACACAATTACCAACATTATCCAGTATATGGCCACATGCCTGCTTTCAAGAACTGTGTTACAGCTCATTCATGGGAATTTTAGTCAGCCAAGCCAGAGAACCGACTTAAATTTTTCATAGTGGAACTGGGACGTGGCTAACAACCCAGTCAGTCCACGGGTATATACAACTACATTAAGTGTTCATAGCAAAGGGAGATATGTCTCCTCTGACAGTGACATCAGTCTTAATAACTTAAAGGTCCTATATATAATCTTCTATTTCTGTATTTCTTTCAGAGTGAAAACTTAATTTTTCAGTATTATATAATATGTTATTATAACAGGTTTTAAATTATTTAAGTTCTCGTATTTGGTGCTTTGTATATTTCTGCCTGCTGAGTCAGCGCCTCCTTGTATCAACTGTATGTACGTGTACCTGTATATAAGCATACATGTAGGCAGGCAAAATCCATATACACTGCGTGTATAGACGGGTTTGGGAGTTGGGGTCACCCGTTAACCATCAAAATTATAGCGGATTATGGAAAAGGCTTTGAAAATACACTGTTGCTTGTAAATAAAGGCTCGAAGTGGCGGATTTAGAGAAGGGTGTCGGGGGGGGGGGGGTCCTGAACCCCCCTATCGCTTTCTGAAAAAAAAAAAAAAACGCACCAATGGTCCCCTCTTGGCATACGAATTTTGACTAGTTGAATCATAGTTTTACACCGTACCAAATGGCACCGTTCGCACTCTAAAATACCCAAAATTTCCGGGACCCTTCTGCGGACCCCGAACCCCACGCCGAGAGGGGGAGAAGATCGGCTTCAAATCTGCGGCCTGTCAGAGTCCTAAAACAGAAAGCTTCCTTCAAATAATCCTTAATCCTCCCCTATGTTTCACGTACTGATATATGGGCTATGTTGATAATAACATTGTATTTTGATGCCGTCGTTGTTCTCTTGCTTGTATCCATTTTGTGCCCACCCTGTCGTCTGGTACTATTCCAGGTACCAGCTGATGCTGAAGTGCTGGTCGTGGGAGCCAGAGGAGCGACCAGACTTCACCTCTATTGTAACACAAATAGAGGAGACAGTGAAAATCAACACGGAATTTGGTGGAGAACCTTGGGACACAGGGGAGGATGATTACGACGCATATACTGAAATGGACTAATAACGGACTGGGTATATTCTGTAAATCTGCCTATTAAGACCAATCTATTTTTGGACTGTGATTTTCAATAAGTTTTGACGATGACGATGTTGATTCTTCTTCACTAGAACTTGTTGTATTTTAAAATGTCAAATAACTTTATAATTTTCATGTTTCACTGTTTTTACGAAAAAGAATTAAACTGCGGACAAAAACTACAAATAAACTAGACGCTGCATATTTCCATTTTTACCTCCTCCCAATTTGGATATTGAAGGCGGTCACCTAAGTTTGCCTCAACGATTCTGGAGCGCATTGTTCTTTAGGTTCTGTATTATCACTATCTTTATGGTGTGGTAGCAGATGATCAGGTGATTTGGTCCTTGAAATATTTGCGTAAACTGTACCGTGTCAGTAGAGATAGCATGTACTATATTTGATATGGTTGTCAGTATAAGCGGCCATGTAACAATTGTTACAAGGTGTAGGGGGAGGGAGGGGGCCGGGGGGCAACAGTTACACTGTACTACTGCTGAGGTGATCAGTTACATATAGCAGCAGGGAAATGATCAGAGAGAGATCTTGACTAGTTGCATGGACCGCATTCTGGTTAGTCCCTTTCTAGTTGACAAATTTTAATTGTGGTATTATTTTGCAGCATACCTGGTTTTAATGGAGATTAATTTTTTTTTAGATATCATATGTGGTGAGGCGTTTGTATTGTATCATACGCCTTGTGAAGGTAGATGCTCTTCGTTTATTTAAGATACTGTCGACATTCGGTATATGTGGTACTGGACATGAACCTTAGCAGTGTATTAATATATGCTTACTTGATCATTGTTATGAGTATATGCATCCTCTTTGTAGTCAAATCTGACAGTCTGATTTATGAGTATGTACTCAAATACAGTTCTATCGTCTCAACAACCAATCACGTGATGGAGTACGAATATGTACTACACTCATACATTCTTTTGATAGATAAAACTGAAACAGTTTTGAGTGCTTAGAACAAAAACTTAACTGGTATAAAAGCGTAATTATTTCTGCTATAAATATTTTTCTAAATAATCTGCCTTAACACATGTTATGTCTATATACTTCTGCAAGCTACTATGTTAATATCGATATTATTAAGTAAGTGATTTATCACTGTTAGCTTTTATATACTTACTAAAATATCAGTACAGTTCTTGACCGCTATAAACTGCAACGAATAGCTTTACATTTAGGTACAAGTGTGTGTGCGTGTGTATGTGTGTGTGTGTGGGGGGGGTGTACACATGCACGTATACGGGTGCGCATGCTTTAGTATGTGTGTATATATACATACGTATTCATATGCTGTAATGATATTTGTATGACAGAAATAAACTAACATAAAAAAATAATCTTTAGATAGCTTTTGATATTCGAAAAGCTTGACATTCTATTGAATCATTCTTATTTTTTATTCATTTATTTATTACCACCTCAAGGGTGAAAGTCATAACACAGAACATTTATAAAATCGCACTTCACATAGTAAAATCTCATGATAAAGCCGTTCTAATAGGTAAAGAATTAAAATGCATCCATGTTAAACTATTGTACAGAGGAGTATTAAAAATGAATAAAATGAATACAATTCAAAAATTTTAGTTTAACGTCGAACCATGCTATATTCGAAGGCACCAGCATTTCATTGTACCAATCATGTTTCATTTTGTACAGACTTGACATTTAATATGGAATATTTCAGTTTTGAAGGTATGCCTAGGTACAAATGCGTTCTTTAAAAAAAAACTCTGATCTCATATGAGTTATATGAAAGGAGAAGTATGTAGCCAGGTGTGTCGTTACCAAGCAACTGACTACCATGTCTGTTGTGCGGCTGCAATAATAATATATAAAATACTGTAATATACAGTGATTTAATTGGGTAGTGCTCCTTTGGGCTGGTCAAAGCTTGGCTTTGGCAAAATATAGTTCTGTCAAAAATGTATCCATATATCGGCAACTACTGCATGGAAGAATTAAAAAATTTACATACATAGTCCCTTANATGTAGTTCCAGGACAAACATGTACCAAACAAACAATTTCAATTAGGCCTACATATCTTTCTAAAACCTAACTATATTACTTATTTCAAGTATATCGTCACTGTTTAGCACCAAAACACCTATTTTTAAGGTATTCATGTGAAATGGAAATAAAAGAAATCGGTAGGAAAGTATTTGAATTTGCAGGCCGAACGTGCTCCATCGAGAGGCCGAACGTGCCCCAGGCCGGGGCACGTTCGGCCACGTGTTGGAAATTTATTTCATGTTAAATTTCTTTAAAACGCAAGGTCTTCTTTACATTTGACCAATGTATAAAAAAAGGAAATTTAGCAGTCTATCTACTCAAAACACATCATTGAGATTCGTCGTCTGAACTACAACCGATCAAAGGAAAAGGGGCCGAACGTGCCCCGGTCTCCCCCCTATTGCAAAAATTAGCTAGGCTAAAAGTATCCTTTTTAGCGGTTTTTTATTTATCGATTTTTCTTTCATTTGTCAATTAATTTAGACGATTCGATTAACTCTTTTGCCCATTTATTAGGTAGGCCTATTCAGAAATCAGTCATCCGTCTGAACAAATAGGACCGGTTTTCCCCAACCGCCACGCATAGGCCCTACTCTCTTTCAAAATTTTCTTTCCTTCACCAGGAAATGGACTTTTAACACGAACTTTTCTCTTCCCCATAGTGTAGGCCTACTAGCTAGACTTCTTCGCTGCTAAGCTGATGTAAGACTTATGACCTATTACCGCACACGTAATCGGCTTATAACTCATTAACTGTGCTCCGACCCCCTCATGGCAACGGCCCTTAGTAACAGAGGCGGGGCTTAGTTGTCAGCCTGACTGGGGCGCGGTTGAAAAACTCATCAAAAGACACATTTTGCGATGCAAATTCATAAAAATTATTACATCCAACGTTAGATACTTTTTTGATTAATATAAAAACACAAAAAACTCAAAACGTCCTCTCATATTAGTTTTTTTTTGCGATCTGCGCAGATTTCGCGCATGAGTAGTTTTTTGCGATAGCGGCTAATGATAAACATATAACATGCAATAAAATACGTAATTCACCCTTTTATGAAATCAGTATGAAATCTTTGATGTTATTTTGGTCGAAGCGCTACGAATGTGTCAACAATGTGTTGCGTATCTGTGAACGCTTGGTCTTTTACGACGTAAAGTACCCACTTGCAACTTTGTTTACAAATGCCGCAATGTAAGAAATTATGTGAAGACGGGATGGAAAAGAATGTTTTAGTAAGGCTTGTATAGCAGTGACAAGGTCTTATCTCACGGAAAGTAATCACAATGGTTTGCATTTTGACCACAAAGTGTATTGTGGTGATTTGCCACATGGTTACGATGTGTGCAACAAAACATTGTCTTCTTCAGCATTGGTTTCCGATCACCCAGGGCCAAGTTACCGTGATTTGTATGCTGAAAACAATTCTCTTCTTTCACAATAAGTTAAAATAATTAGACGCATGGCGTTTTGTTGTTGATTTAAGTATGTTATTGAACAATATGACCTGCAAACAGTGCGATTTTCAGCTCTCCAGGAAAGATGCAACAGGTGTGCACCCGCCTGGCGTGCTGCGACGTCATTCTTGTGATGGTTTTGTTAAAGTGCAAATGGACAAAACCATAAAACACACAACAGAGGACCAAGGGTTTTTATGCAGATACATATAATAGTTTTTTGATGCTAGGAAAATAAACAGTATATTTTAGAAGATAAAGTGTAGGGCCTACTTTATTCCAACTTTATCCTAATTTACCCAATCATAAACAAGAGATCTAGCTGATCGACTTAAGTTTGTAAATTTATTACTTCACAGAAATTATTCAGCCCATAATGCATTAGAAGATAGTCTTGAGTTACAAAATTTAGTTAATTTTTGCAATGATGAAAGTGAAGAAAATCCTTTTTTTCAGATTTTTTAATTTTATCCCAGTCAACTGACTCAATCCTGTGTGAAACCTTTACCAAATTCTGTAGAAAACCTTGTTTGTAAAAAAATAATTTCTCCATGTGTAGAAAAAAAATAAAGCTGTCAGGGTTAACATATCAGCATTTGTATATTTCTTTTCAACGAGAAGGTCTAGATGGTCTTTATTTTCTTCTCAGTGAAATCAATCCAAACAAACAAACAAAAAAAAAAAAACAAAAAAACAAAAAAAAAAAAAAAACGAGTAACAAAATGCATGAAAGTCATAAAAAAATTGTATGATTTTTTTAATGTGTAATTTTAAAATAAATATGCATATTTATATGCTATTGATATGTATTTGGTTGTATGTTGTAAATTTAATATGAAACAGAAATAAACTGATAATCAAAGATGTCTGTAGATGAGTATTTTTGTCACCATCTTCCATATATAAAGAAATATGACTAATTTACCATAGTAAGAAATTGATACATTGTTAATAAACAAAGGAAACAATTTATCCAGCTATCTTACCATGAAGTGCATATTTTAGTACTGAGTAAGAAAAATAAAGAAATAAAAGAAATAATAATTAAAAGGAATAAGAAAATAAGTCAAATGTGATTGATATATATGCTTTTGGACAGCCTATGAAAATCCAATATGGCGGCATTCCATGAGGCATACTGAAATCCAACTGATACTTTCAACATTTGGCTATCTATTTATTATGAATGGGATATGCAAACTTTATGAAATTTGGTTAGCTGATGCAGGGAAGTATAAATATAATTTTCATGGAAGCAAAATAAGTGTATGAGTTAAAAACCCACAATACAAAACATATTTATTTAAATTTGCTTGGAAATTCCCATTGATTCCTATGTAAGTTTGATAAAAAATCGATGTTCAAGCAGCCCTGGCTCAAAAACAAGCGTGGTGTGGTACATTATTTTTTTAGTAAATTTCTTTGAGGTCTACCAAGATCTATAACATATCCACATAAAATTAAAATCGCTAGGTCAGAATTTTTTATTTT